AGTTCACTCATATCAGGAAGCATTATATACCTTTTTGATGTTTTTGAACCATTGATTTATATGGCAGGTGGACATATTTCAGTAAAATGGTTAAAAATTAAGTTGAACTGAGTTGAAAAACAACCACAGGAAAGATATAGTCATTGCTCCCCAGCAGTGCCACTCCTCAGCCAGCAGCCAAATCTCTCTCTGGCCCTCACTCTCTCAGCTATGTGGTCCTTTGGGCTCTGCCTCTGTGGGTCAGGAAGCCCACCTGCCATTCCATCACACTGTCTCTTGGTCTCAGCGGCGGCACGACCCCTCTGCTCTGTCTTGGCATGGCTCCTTTGCTCTGTCCCATGGTCTCCCAGGCTGCAGCCTCTGATCCTCTGGTCTTAGCCTTCACCACTTTAAGCAGGGAATCTCGAACATGAGGAGCAATTGTGGCTCTTCTTCCTTGATGGTCCCAGGCATTCTTTCTGTGCCTGGTTCCAAGAGAGCTTTCTTATGGCCAGAGAGATGGCAACGACACTGACCAATGCCCTCTATTCATGTTGCACTAGCCCTATTTGCGTAGACCCAGCCAATCGTTTGTTTGGAGTTAGAGTCATGGATCAAAGAGCCATATTATGAAATTTCACTTCACTGCACATAGATAAACCTAGAGGACATTATGCTGCGTGAAATGTGCCAGTCACAGAAAAGTACAAATATTATATGAGACCGCTATTATAAAAATTCCAAAAAAGGCTTTCACACAGAAAGAAGCATTCTTTGCTGGTCACCAAGGATGAAACTGACTGGAGGGTAGACGCATTAACTTGGGGGAAGGAGGAAGTAGTATACCCGAAGGAGAAAGCCAACACAAAATTACGGAGGCAAAAAAAGATGCTAGGAAATGCATAAGAGCTGAAGGCATCAGAGGTCAATATGACAAATGCAATCCTACAGTAACAATAATAATTATCGGTGAATATGTAGGTATATAAATACATAGACACACAAGCTGAACAAATATGGAAGGTGAACAGGACTAGACCTACAAATACATATAAGTTTGACAAATATATATATATAGGTTTGACAGAGGAGATATATATATATATATGTGTGTGTGTATATATATAAAATTTTTGACAGAGGATATTGTTATATGTGTTACAAATATACCTGTGAATACAGGTAGAGCATACAGGAAACAACGTTATGAGAACTTCTTAGCAAGACCTTGAGAGGATAAATTGCTCAATCTAGGAATTCATCAAGGTCAATTGACACAGCATAGTTCACACACATACAAAAATATGCATCCTACTTTGGTGTGAAGACACTGAGATCTTAAAATCTTATGGGCAGTCATCTCTAAGGTACAACTATTGGTCTCTTCTCCTCCAGAGCAAAGGAGAATAAAGAAAATCAAAGATGCCTGCAAGCAACTAGTCCAAAGGACTGATGGGCCATGCAGACCTCATCCTCTGTGACATTGAGACCAAAAGAGCTGGAACAGCAAATCCGTGACTCAGGAATGACCAGGGCACTCTTGGAGAACATGAGAGAGGAAAAATGTACTAGCCAGTGACCCAGAGGAGCTAGCCTTCTGGAAGAGCTGGGGCCCGAATGGCAGTGAGCATAGCACTTATACTTTAGCTGCACAAGCAAGGTCACAGACTTGGAATCGGCGAGGATTTGGGTGCATTCCGGGAATGAGGAAGTCCATGGGGTAAGGCAGTGTGTTGGGTTTATTTTCCAACTGTTAAAATTCCCTATTAGGATTTTCCTTGCAAGTATTTTGATGCATGGAAGCTGGGCTTATGTAAAATGTTCTTATTGTTATAATTAACTATAGGAATCCCTTTCCTAAGTAAATAAATTTCTGTTGAAGCATGGTACAAACATTTTTTAGACCATTTTACTGGGGGCTTGTACAACTCCTATCGTAATCCATCCATCCATGTGTCAGGCACATTTGTACATCTGTTGCCATCATCATTCTCGGTACAAACATTTTATAGATGGTCATTTTTGTCTCACCCCCTCCGGCAGTGTCACCCAGTGTGGTCTGCACTGGTCACTGACAATTTACCTTCGGCCGGCTGGCCCAGATCATGCAGTCCCAGAGCCCTGGCTCATGTTTGTCTGGGGTTGCCTGTGGAGGATTGATAAATGTGTCTGGAATCTCGGCTGTGACACCTCTCCCTGCGAGAATCCATGCTCACCTTTGACCCAAGCTGTAGACTTTGTACAGCCCCCAGTTTATGGCAGAGGAGTCCAAGTCCAGGGGAGAAAAGAGCCAGGACAAGCACTTGGCTATCCTGGAAGTCGGCCCCTGCTCTGTCTGCTCTTTCCCCACATGGCAGGAGCCAACAGGACCCTGGCCATTTGGAGGGTCGTGGAGCAACATCAGTCTGTCTAACTAAAAGCAAAAGGGCTTATTGAGAAATGGAGTGATTTTTGACTCAGTAGAACAGAGGAACCAGGCAGTCACAACGGGCTTCACCAGGCAGAGCCTGCGCCCAAACCAAACCTGCCATCATGGAGTTCATGCCAACTCATAGCCACCCTACAGAGGGTTTCCTTTAGGGGCCAGAGAGTTTCATCTTGCTCCTTTAGAGCAGCTGGTGGATGTGAGCCACCAATTTTGTTGGTCAGTACACCTATCCAACAACCGTCAGAGGCGACTCGGCATAAATATTAAAATACCTGGAATTTAGAGTCAAAAAGAATGGCAGTCACATAGTTTCATATATAATAGTGTGGGTGTGGTATTCGACCTGTCAATCATAAGGAGGGCCCCGGGAACCTCCCTCTCTCTCTGCCTTCGCCTTCTTGTTGAGGAACGGAGCTGAGACCTGCATGAGCCCTGTGATGCGGCCACCACCATTGGATCCACACAACGCTGCACCCATAGGCCTGTGATCTTCCTGCACTCTGCATTGTTGCATGTGGCTTTGTGAGTCTGAAGAGGGATTTATGGACTAGTATCGGACTTATAGTCTGGATCTGGACTGGGCAGGGATGTTTGCCTGCCATATAAAGCTTCTTGATATAAAGCTCTTTCTTACACATACACAAGTGTCTCTGAATTTGTTTCTCTAGTCAACCTGGCCTAACACAAAACATATTCTGATTGGCTAGCTAAAGTAAGTTCTTCCTGTGCTCTCTCCATCATGAAGACAGGCAAATTCATAATCATTAGTCTATTTTCTTCTTGAGGATAAGCAGTCCGTCCTTTATTTCCTCATCCGCAACCATGGTGCTAGAAAGGGAAGCCAAGCCTAGGCCAAAATGGAGTCAAGAGTCATAGCTGTATCAGCCACTTGAGTTATGCCAGCTACTCCAGATTTTGAAGGGGCTCTGACACAGGACTCAAGGGACATCCATGCAAACTCTGACTGGCCTCTCCCTGCTCAAGGGGCTTCCAGTCTGGCGGAGGTCACAGGCATTCACAAAGTGAGCAGCGCTGGGCTGGAAGACAGCAGGGAGCTGTGGAAGCCCGGTGGAGGGACCGAGCAGCCTGGCATGAGATGGGGGTCAGAGAAGGTTTTCCTCAAGATCTGAAATGTCTGTCCAAGAGAAAGAGGTGTTCATCTTGGGTAGTAGGTGAAAGGCATTTCAGGCCAAGAGGACAGTTTGTACAAAACACTGGAGGGAAGGTGACACGAAACACCTTGGGGAACTTGTTTGGTGTGTCTGCAGGGCAGGGAAAGGCTGGGAAGAAAGGCAGGAGTCAGGTTGCCAGGACTGGAGGCCAGCTCAGACACAGCAGATCTGGAGGCATGAGAAGCCATGGGGCAATTTGAGCCAGGGGAAATGACAGAATCAGACCTGCCTTTCAGATGGGTCTTCTTTCTGGCTGCAGACTGGAGGTGGTTTGGAGGATGGATTAGGACAGATTTGAGATGGAATACATGGTGCCTGATTAACTGGAACAGGAAATGACAACAGATATAAATTATTTTTTAAACCATAAATGTGTGTGTGAGAGAGAGAGAGGAAAGAGAGAGAGCGAGAGCGAGAGCGCATGCCCTGGTGGCTTAGTGGCTATGCAGTGGGCTGCTCACCATAATTCCAAACTAGCAGCCATTCCACATGGGAAAGATGAGGCTCCCTACTCCTGTAAAGCTACAGCCTCTAGTTCTGTCCTGTCCTATGGGGTTGCCCAATGGCAGTGAGTTTTCGTTGTTGTTTTTTAGGGGGATTGTTTCTGTTAAGAGTTTATGTCCACCTGCACTTGTGTAGGGGTGAAGTTCAACCTGTCAAATCAGGTCAGAGCCTCATGATGCCTCCTGGGAAGTGTGGCCTTTTTATAAGAGAGACACTGGTCTCCCCTCCCCTCTCTCTCTTGACCTTTGCCTTTGTCCTTGATGGGACTCCGTGTCTGCCATCCAAGGGTGGCCCCATGTGGACCACCAACCCTGGGAGCTAAGATGGGAGCCGTTGGCACTCTGCCATGTTCCCATCAACCTTGGATCCCTGTGACTGCATCCAGCAGCCTGCTTCCCACTTCCACTTTCTGCATAATCAGCCTGCAGCTATGTGAATCTGGAGAGGCCTCTTAGTACCATTGGACCATGGACCGGGCTGGGATGCCTTCGTGATCCAAACCTACTTGAGATAACAAAGTTCTGTCTTATACCTATACGAGTGCCACTGTCTGTGTTTCTCTAGACAACCCAACCTAACACAGGGATTAATTACAGATGTAAAGACTTTGCAGACCAAAGGATTGCATATAGGTATTTATATAATAAAAGGGGAAAACAGACAAATTTCAAAATACTGAATATCGCTTTTTGCAATACAGGAAGATTGATGAGACACAGAATTTGTGGGAGGGGAAGACATTCACTTTATTTGGGTTTAAAGTTAGTGTTCCGCATCCTCAAAGCAATGGTAAATGTTTATAAAAATGGTTCTTTGTTCAGGCAGTACAAACATTGACTGGAGTTTGTTGACTCTGGTCTAGACTCATGGGATTCCGGTGGAAGCCAGCAAAGGAGCCACTCCTCAGGGGCGCATACCAGCCATAGTGCCCGGCCCTGCACCATCATTACCACTAGCATCTGCTAAGTACACTCTTGCTACCGGGAGGGGTTGCAATCCATCTGCTAGTAGAAATATAAACATAACCCTTTCTAGCCCAGGTAGAGATAGTGACTTGCTTGTTGCCACACTGCTAGGTGCCAACAGAGCTGGGATTTGAACCCAGATCTCTGATCTCTCGGCTCTGTGTTCTTTGGCCTGTATCATCATGCCTTCACCAAGACCCCAGCATCAGTTAGATATTCTTCAGGCCTCTCCCTCCTAGCTACAGATCAGCTACCTTCATTTACATATATTTGCATATGCAACCTCTAGGGGAAGAATTTGAGCCTCAGAGAAGATGAATAACTTGCTTGGCATCTCTCATAAAAATGAGCTAAAGGTTCCTCTCTCCCATGAAATTCAGAATCTAATTCCTGGAACCTGTGAATGTTATCTTCTATGGCAAAAATAAAGGGGTCTTTGCTGTTGGGTTTAAGTTAAAATGGGAAGATGAATTTGGATTGTCCAGATTGGCTTAAAATGCAGTCACATGTATCCTTGTATAAGTGGGAAGCAGAGGGAGGTTTTGCTTGACAGGCATCAGAGATATGCCAAAGGAAGCAGGGAAGAAGATGCTGTGCTTCTGGCTTTAAAGGAAGAGGGCGGAATGGATGAAACTGGCACTGAGTCAACTCCAACCCATAACAGCCCTAGGGGGTAAAGTAGACCTGCCCGTGGGGGCTGCTGAGACTCTCAATCTCACCAGGAGTAGAAAGCCTGTGATTTGGGCTGAGTGGGTATGACTTTGGATGACTTTACTCATGCAGAACCTGTATGTAGATCAAGAGGCAGTTGTTGGAATAGAAAGAGGGCCTACTGCATGGTTTAAAATCAGGAAAGGTGTATGTGTCAGGGTTGTATTCCCTCACCATATGTGTTCAATCTGTGTGCTGAGCAAATCATCAGAGAAACGGCTTATATGAAGAAGAAGGTGGTATCAGGATTGGAGGAAGGCTTATTAATAACCTTGATCTATACGTGACACACTTTGCCTGCTGAAAGTGAGGAGGACTTGAAGCACTTTCTGATGTACATCAAGAATTGTAGCTTTCAGTAAGGGTTACAACTTAATGTAAAGAAAACCAAAATCCTCACAACTGGACCAATAGGTAACATTATGATAAATGGAGAAAAGATTGAAGTTGTCAAGGTTTGTCTTGCTTGGATCCACAAT